ACACCTAACAACTGAGCCACCCAGGCGCCCCATCCACATTCTTTTTCTTGAGGCAAACCCACCAAACTATAAGCTTTAAGCCCCACAAAACCTGGATCCACCCTAGCTGGAGGCCCGATGGAGAGGGACTCTGAGGAGACAAGGACTCTGTCCACCGGTGTTTTGTTTTGTTTTGTTAGGATTTTATTTATTTATTTGACAGAGAGAGAGAGAGCATAAGCAGGGGGAAGGGAAGGCAGAGGGAGAGGGAGAAGCAGGCTCCCCACTGAGCAAGGAGCCTGATGGGATGCGGGGCTGGATGCGGGGCTAGATCCCAGGGTCCTGGGATCATGACCTGAGCTGAAGGCAGATGCTTAGCCTACTGAGCCACCAGCCGTCCCAGTGGTGTTTTTAAATAGAAATACTGTGCTCTGTGTGACATAACCCTCTTCTTTCCTATTTCCCCGTATGAAAATTTTAGTAAAATGGCTATTTTTCACTTTAAAATTTAACACAAAACAGGGTGAGAGAGATTTGGATTAACAGCGGCAATGTGAGAAAAACTGTGGGGTTGGAGGGATGGGCTTGTGTGAGGCCACAGGTTCTTTGATAGCCCATTGTGTGACAAATGCAGGGAGGTGACAGTTGCCTGCTTTCTGCACTCCTCAGACTGCACCTGAATGCTTCTGCTCCAGACAGGGAGGCAGGTTGTCAAAGGGACGTTGACAAACTAAGGTGAACCCACAGGAGCTCACCCAGAATGGCGAAGAGTTTGGAGTCAGATCTTGGAAAAATCTTTAAAGAAAACTAGTTAAGGGGCACCTGGGTGGCTCAGTCGTTACGCGTCTGCCTTCAGCCCAGGTCATGATCCCAGGGCCCTGGGATCGAGCCCCACTTCGGGCTCCTTGCTCAGCGGGGAGCCTGCTTCTCCCTCTCCCACTCCCCCTGCTTGTGTTCCCTCTCTCGCTGTATCTCTCTCTGTCAAATAAATAAATAAAATTTAAAATTTAAAAAAAAACACCAATTATGTTGCTGAGACTCGGGTGTGGGGGAGCAGGCGGAGGTGAACACTGTTGTTAGAAGAGAGGTAGTGAAGGCAGTGCTAGGACCAATGGAAGAGTGAGAGGCAGATTGCCTTTTTTTTTTAATGTAAAGAGTTTATATTAAATACCTCTATCAAGTAACTTAACATTCACGTTGGAATGATATTCATCAAACGACTACAATGGCAGGATTTTAAGTGATTTTAATTTCTTCTCTGTACTTCTTTGTAAAAGTGTATGCCATTTCTGGTAAACAATAGTCATTAGTCTTTTTTTTTTTTTTAAATCTCTATCAGATATATCTGGCTTTCCAAGTCCCAGTTCAGCTACTGAACTACCTCTACTCTTGCTTATTTTCTCAACTACCACACAAGCAGATTTAGTTCATCCTGAGCTTCATAATTTATATAAAAACTCAGGTCCAGGGTGCCTGGGTGGCTCAGGCGGTTAAGCATCTGCCTTTGGCTCAGGTCATGATCCTAGGATCCTGGGATGGAGCCCCTCGTGGGGCTCCCTGTTTAGCGGGGACCCTGCTTCTCCCTCTCCCTCTGAGGCTCCCCTTGCTTGTGCTCTCTCACTCTCAAATAAATAAATACAATCTTAAGAAAAAAGAAACTTGGCTCCAAGCTTATCAAAACAAAGGACTCCCCAACCTAGCAAGATGCTCCTTCCTTGATGGCAGTTGAAAGGACAAGCCCCCTTGTCCATTAAAAAAAAAAAAGATTCCTTCAAAAGAAATTCTGACAATTAGAGTATCTTCATCTTCTTATACAGTTGTTCTAATTACAGTTATTCAAAAATAGAATGGTCTCAGTTCCAAGTCCCTGAAAGTTTTCCAATAGAACACGAAAGAAAAGCCAGATATTTTAAGAAGGATGCTGGCCCAGGGTAGGCAGTTGGGACTCTATAACCTCTACTTTTCTTCTGACTCTCACATTTTTAGATCTCATTTGTACCTCTCATTGAGGGGTCTAATTATGTGCTGCATTTCACTTCCAAACATTCTCTGGACATCAAGAACCTCTTATATCTAACACTATGGTTTGCATAATGTAGACTCTTCATAACACTAGCAAAACACTTAACAAATTTCTATCACCTGCCAGTCAGCCTTCTAAGCATGTGATGGGAGGAATTAAGTCATGTAATCCTCAATGCAGACCCATGAGATAGGGCTTATTATGATCATTCCTGTGTTGAAAATTTGCCTGAGGTTCCATGGATCATGGGGGACAGAGCTGGGATTCGAATCCAGGCAGGCTGTCTCCAGAGTTAGCCTCTTAACCAACCTGACGCCGCCTCTCACTTGACAGAGGTTTGAAATTGCTCCAGTTCTGAATACTGAGATCTATGTGGTATTTTGGCGTGGTTCTAGCCTGCTGGGAGTTTGGTGGGCTGACACAAGAAAGCTGACCTGATCATGGGACCTATCTACCAACAGCCAAGGTATGCCATATGCAATCCACATTTGAAAGCCAAAGGCAGAGGGGCGCCTGGGTGGCTCAGTCATTAAGCGTCTGCCTTCAGCTCAGGTCATGGTCCTGGGGTCCTGGGATTGAGCCCCACATCGGGCTCCCTGCTCGGAGGGAGGCCTGCTTCTCCCCTCCCACTCCCCCTGCCTGTGTTCCCTCTCTCGCTGTGTGTCTGTCAGGTAAATAAATAAAATCTTTAAAAGAAAGAAGAAAGAAAAGAAAAGGAAAGAAAGAAGAAAGGAAAGGAAAGAAAGAAGGAAGAAAGCAAGCAAGCAAGCCAAAGGCAGAGAGTAGTAGTAGGATAGTTGCATCATGTCCAGAGGGGTACCACAGTGACTGACAGGTGCACACGACTGTGGAATCTTTGTTTGCTGTGGAAAGGTTCTTAAAGGGCAAGCAGCCCACCCATTCAACATTGGTGCCACGTGTGTGATGGGGAACTGGGTGGGTGGAGCTTCTTCCTATCCGGACCCCCTCACTGACCTTGGTTTAGCACTACCTGTCAAGTGGGTCCCTGACTCCCACCTCCTCTCTTCCTGTGGCCTCACCCACCTCTCAAGCATCCTGGCCTCTGCCTTGGGCAACACTAAATTCATCAATATCTCAACCCTTCATCTTGGTGGTAAACACCTCGGCTGGAATCTTACTTTAGTTCCAATTCAATGAGATTAAATTTCCCCGGAAAGCATTAGGTGTTTTATTCTTATGGTTAATTAATTTTTTTATAGACTTACAACTCCCGCGATTTAATTAAAAAATGAATTTCAGGCTGCAAAATTGGCCTCCGCTGCTAAGTAGATTCCATAGATTTGTCCTGCAAAGGATAAATAATTTAAAAATATATGATTATTACTAAAAGTACTGTTATGACAAGTAAATTACCCAAGGTCTTCGACGTAGAGAAAAGGGGGGGTGGCTAAGTGCCTTCTGCAAGCTCTGTTTTATCTTCCAGTCCCTGACCGCTTGGGCCGGGCCCCCCTGCCCCACAGCTGGACCTCAGCTGGGCGCTCCTGCCCCCTTCCCGGCGGCGTCACGTGGCCGCTGAGCTCACCGTCAACCGCCAGGCTCAGCGGGATGCCAACGATGACTGTTGTTTTTATTGTGATCGTACTCCAGGGAAACCCTGCTGCTGCCCCGCACCCCTCCAGCCCCGCTCAGCAGGACAGCCCGGGAAACCGGCCTCCCGTGGGCGGAGGCCCCGCTCCCGCAGACCCCTCCCCTCGGCAACGGCTTTCCCAGGTCTTCCCGGCTCCGGGGCCTTCCTCCAGAAGGAAGTCCCCTCGGCCCAGGGACAGCTCCCGAGCTGCAGCAGTCCCCGGCGGCCGGGGCCAGTCCTCACGCCCCCCGCCGCCGCCCCCTCCCCTCGAGCGCCCCGTGCTGGAGCCAGGCTGCCCCGGAAGGATCTGACCGGCCACTTCCTGCAATTGTCTCTCTGGACGCAGTCCGCGGGCGTCCAGCGCTCCCAGTCTCCCGCCCGGAGCCCGGCCTCTCGGGCGTCCCCGCCCACCCTCTCAGTCCCCGGCCGCTCTCCTTCGCCGCCCTCTCCGCAGCCGGCCGCGGGGGACCGGGCGTGCGTGGTCACCGGGGCAACCGCCGGGCCGGGGCGTGCGTGGTCACCCGGGCAACCGTCGGGCAGGGGCGGAGGCGGAGTGGGGTGGCTGCGCTCTCCCTCCCGGCGAGTCAAATCCGAGCGGCCGCCGGGGGTGGGCTGGGAGCCCTGCACGGCAAGAAGAGTCCCCGCACTGGAGGGAGGCCGGCGTGCCCTTTCTCCAGCTCAGACCACCGCGGCCCTGATCGCAGCCCGCCCCACCTCCTGGTCCCACGGGGCGTGCCCTCCAGGAAGAGGCGCAGGGAGGCCGGAGGAGGGGCCTGTCTGCACTTGATGGATGGCACTGAAGAAATGTCTGGCACTTTCTTTCCCCGTGGGGGAGGTGAGGCTGCAGCCACCTCTCCCCCGCATTCATTCGCATTCCTGCCCGCCTGCTCAGGAAGGGCTTGGGGTGGGGGGCTGGAGCAGGGCCAGCTGAGAGTCATTTTGCAAACTCTCACATTTGTCTACACTGGCATGGGTAGTGTAGACAAATCTCAACCAAGGTAAGAGAGGATCCATCCTTCTTTCCTGGCTCCCAGACCTCCCCAACACTGGGCAATATAGCAGTTCTTAAACTGGTGTGGCCCACAGACCCTGGGAGTCCCCAAGACCCTTTCAGGGGATGGATGAGGTCAAGAGACTTTGTATAATCATACTAATACATGATTTACCTTCATGACTTGACAGGTACATTGATGGTAGGAAAGTAATGGGGGCAAACTGCTGCTGTCTTAGCATAAACCAAGGCAGTGGCACTGAATGAGTCATTGTATTCTTCATTACCACACATCGGCAGTAAAAAAAAAAAAAAAAATTAAAAAGTCAGGTTTTGTAAGAAAACTTGATAAAGCAGCAAAAAAATATTAACATGCGATTAGTTTATTATAGTTATTTAAATGAGTTAATAAGGCCTTGTTTTAATTTCTAATATAGTATACATGAATAGATTTAACCCACATAAACAAAAACTCTTTGAGGCCCTCAATAATTCTGAAGGGTGTAAACAGGTCCTTAGACCAGAAGTGTCAGCACTGCTGGGGGAAGTCACAGGCTGTCAGGTAGCTGAAAGGGGGCCGGGGCCTTTTGCAGATATTGCATTCCCAGCTTGAGAAGCATGTCTTACTTGGAGTAGAGGGTGGGGAACATGGCTGTGTTTTCTGGGAACCCGCTCTCCTTCCAGAGACAGTCACTAGAATAAAGATGTTAATGGCCTCTGCTCACCAGAGAAACAAGACATACAGGCTCACAGCCCCTCCAAGCTGCCCCTCTCCCCTGCACACTGTACCCAGTGTTGAGGGCGGAGGGGGACACAGGTGTGTTTGTGGCCTAGATGTGGACTCCCCTCATCCCCCAGATTATCTTATAGTCCCTTTTCCTATTGCCTCTAAGGTGGCTCTTCCCCTCCCCAAATTAGTCACAGTTTAGCAAGGTTGAGGGAGTGGGGGGAGAGGATCAGGAGTCCACACCCTAGCCTGGCTTGCGTAGGATGGAGAGTGGGTACACTTGTCTATGTGTGTGTGTGCCACTGGGCATGACTGTGTGCTTTGGTCCAGTTCCATGAACTCTCAAGTTCTCCCCAACACCAGTCCTCCTTCAGAGGTCATATCTGGTGTCTCCATTGGGGTTAGCACATTTGAGCTGTTCAAACTACTTCTCCGATCCTTTGGCAATGGCAGGGCGGCTGTGGGTGAGGCCGAGGTCTGGCACCTCTCTGTTACCTCTGGCACGGGGAAGGGAGGTGTGGAAGGCCAGGAGGGAAGGCAGGTCAACCTCGAGTGCTACTCCCCCGCTCCCCGAGGAGCCAGTAGGTCCGAACTTTGCCTTTGCCCTGGAGGGAAAAAGAAGAGGCAGTTGGGGTGGGGAGTAGCACACCTACCCACTTTCCCAAATGAGAGGAGAGGCCTAGGAATAGGAGTGGGGTTGGCTGCTTGAGAAGGGGCTTGAGGGAGCCCCTGGGGCCCCAAGGATGGTGAGGGCAGGGGCTTTCTTCTCTACCTTCATTTCTACATCTCCTCGAAGCTCCAGCTCGAAACCACCAAACTCTTCCAGGACAGCCTTGGTCTCAGAAGACAAGTGGATCTTCAGGGCTGGGAAGGATAAGGCAGAAGAAGGGAAGGTGGGGGATGCAGAAATAGGAGCAGGGGAGATTAGGAACTGCAGGGGTAGAAAGATGCTTTCCTTCCTTTCATTTGGCCTAGAAAGCCTCTTAATTCAGAGTCCCACCCCTCCATGTGGAGTCTGTCCATACCGGCCTCTCCCTTAGAATTCTAGAACTGTATTGTCCAACATGGTAGCCACTAGTCACCTGTGGCTATTTAAATTTAAATTAATTAAAACTAGGGGTGCCTGGGTGGCTTAGTCAGCTAACTGTCCAACTCTTGATTTCAGCTCAGGCCATGATCTCTGGGTCGTGAGTTCAAGCCCCACAATGGGCTCCACACTGGGCATGGAGCCTAATTAAAAAATAATAATAATCGGGGCGGCTGGGTGGCTCAGTCAGTTAAGTAACTGCCTTCGGCTCAGGTCATGATCTCAGGGTCCTGGGATCGAGTCCCGCATCGGGCTCCCCGCTCACTGGGGAGTCTGCTTCTCCCTCTCCCTCTGCCTCTCCTCCTGCTGGTATTCTCCCCTCCCCGCCTTGTGCTCACTCTCCCTCTCTCTCTCAAACAAATAAAATCTTTAAAAAAATAATTAAAACTAAATACAGTTAAAAAATTCAGTGCCTCAGTTATACTGACCACATTTTTTTTTATGATTTATTTATTTATTTATTTGAGAGAGAGAGAGAGCAAGAACGAGCGCACGAGCATGGGGAGGGCAGAGAGAATCTCCAACAGACCCCCATCTGAGCATGGAGCCTGACTCGGGTCTTGGATCCTAGGACCCTGAGATCATGACCTGAGCTAAAATCAAGAGTCAGATGTTCAGCCAACTAAGCCACCCAGGCGCCCTGCACCACCACATTTCAAGTGACCAATATTCTCCTGTGACAGAGGCTACTGCAATGGACAGCACAGATTATGGAGTATCTTCCTCATTGCAGAAAATTCCATTGGATAGCATTCTAGAATGTCACCAGGCTCCAGACAGACAGTGTAGGATGGTGGTTAGGGGCTCCGACTTTAGATCTGCTCTGTCTAGTGAATCCAGTTCAGACACTTGTTTGGGGAAGTAGTCTAAACTCTGTGCCTCATTTTCCTAGTCTGTAAAATGCTGATAGTGACAGTTTCCACCCAAGGCCTTGTTATGAGAGTTAAATTTAATGCTCATCAAGTATTTAAGTAGAGTCTGGTGCACAGGAAGCACTCTGTAAGTGGTTCTTGTGACTTGTTTAACTCAATAGTCATTTTCAGGCTGAGGGAACTGAGGCCTAGGGGAGGAGATGCGCCCCAACCGCGAGGTCAGATCTAGGCTCTGACTCCTGACCTGGTATTCCCCATACTTCTCTCGAACTTGCCCCTGCCACTCCTGGGGTCTGTATCATAGTGGCCTTGTTTTGTTGTTGAACCATTTCTGAGAAGATGCTCCTTGAAGACTGGACCTCAGCGAGGGGCTTTCTCCTACTCTGACTGCTGGAAACACAGTGCCCAGGGAGTATCTGCTGAACCAGAGCCCCTCTGGGCTCCCAAGTAGCCCTTCTCCTGCCATGAGGCTTGGATGGGGTCTGCATAAATCGCCCCCAGTGGGTCTGGGTCATCTTAGTACCCCAAGGCCTAGCACTTAGTAGTCACTCAATACATGTTTACTGAATTGAATCGCATTGAATATAGCAGGAGGGTAGAAGATCAGCAGGAAGCAAGACTAGGGAACAGGGAGGAGTAAGCATTGACGAAATACCTACTATGTGCAGGGGTTGTGCGAGCTTTTCTACAACCCTGAGACAGGTATCGTTTTATAGATAAACAGCTGAAGCTCAGAAAAGTTGAGTGACAATTATGTCCTGGTCACGTTATATGACTTTCACACATAACTCTTCTAAGGTACGTATCTTATTCTCATCTTACAGATGAGGAAAACGGAGGCTTGAGGCCAATTGACACACAGCTGTGTGGGCTGTGGATCTAGATTCACACCTAAATGGGCTGCTTGAAGCCCTCTACCACATGTAAGAGGGAGCAGAGGGGCCCGAAGGATAGGCTTCCCTTGGGGAACTGTTGAACATTGGCCTGGAAAGACTTTCAACCATTTGGAGGAGGGGGCCCGGATCTCTGACTGGATTGGAGATGATGTGCCCACGCTGACGTGGAGCCTGGGAGGAGAAAGGGCTGGGTGCCAATACACTGGGAGGGGTGCCTGCCTGAGGGGCTTTCCTCACTCCAGCTGCACCGCCCTCTCCAGTCGGTCCCGGGCAGCCACCTTACCTTCTCCATTAGACTCCATTCTGGAAGCGGTGTTGACTGTGTCTCCAAAGAGACAGTAACGGGGCATCTTCAGCCCTACCACACCGGCACACACGGGTCCTGCAGGGAGTGGAGGCCCATCAGTGACAGGGTGGCAGAGGTGTTAAGAATGGCAGGTGGGAGGAATGGATGGGGACTGCTGGGCAGGACTCCTGGAGAGTCAAGAGGTGGGAGCCGAGGCCCCTGGGAATCCAGGTGTGCATGTGTGTGATGGGTGGTGGGGGGGAGCTGGGCCTGGGGATACGTCTCCAGCCCTTGGGGACAGCTGGGCCCGGGGACAGTCCAGCCCTGGGGGCTCCCTCACCTGTGTGGATGCCGATTCGCAGGCGCAGCTCCTCCTGGGGCCGATGGCGGATGCGGAAGGAGCGCACCGCGTCCAGCAGCGCCAGGGCCATGCGGGCCACCTCCCGGGCATGCAGCAGCCCGTTCCGCACGGGGAGCCCGGACACCACCATGTAGGCATCACCAATGGTCTCCACCTGTGGGGCCCGCCAGAGGACACAGGGTATGAGCCCTGGGAGTGTCTCTTCCCTGTGCTGCCCCCACACTGTGTGCACCGTCTTTGGTTCAGCGCCTTGTCCCCTGCGTCCCTGCTCTGCCTGTTCCTGGGGCTCCAGGTAACAGTCTCTGCCCATGTCTCATGGTCTCCTCTCTCAACACTCTGCCCTTCCCCTTCTCTGACCCCGCGCATCACCACCTGTCCATGTCCGTCCCCACGCCCACCCTCACCTTGTACACGTCAAAGTTGTCTATGACAGCATCAAAGCAAGTGTACAGATCATTGAGCAGGGTCACCACCTGGAAGGGACAAGAAGCCAAGGGTGGGTAGGGAGGAAGGGCCCCACCTGGGATAGAGTGGGAACAGGGAACCAGCAGGCAGGCCTGATAGGGTGGAGATGCTAGGCCAAGCACACCGGCCTGGCTTCACCTGGACTCACCTGCATGGGGGTGCTCTCTGCTGACAAGGCTGTGAAGCCCACGATGTCACTGAAGTAGATAGTGACACTGTCGAAGGCTTCAGCCTGGACTGTCTCCCCACGCTTCAGCTGCTCGGCCACTGAGCTGTGGGGTCAGGGACAGGTGCAGGATCAGAGCATGAGGTGGGGCCAGGAGGGGGTGGCCGGGCGACACCAGACACGGGCACTCACTGAGGCAGAATCTGGTAGAGCAGGGCCTCGGCTTTGCGTCTCTCCTCCAGGTAGGCCTGGGTCCGCTCCTCTACCAGCCCCTCCAGATTGTTGGCATACTGCTCCATGCGGGACAGCAGGTTGTCCAGGATGTTGCTGCTACTCTCCCTGAGGACCGGGGGTGGGG